AAATAAATTAAACAACTTCCATATTGAATCTGCTGCATTAGTTCAAGTCTCTTTACACGCCTCACATTTATCAGACTGTTTCTTTTTTAATTATTTATTATAATAAGTTCAGTGTCAAAGAGGTTAATTATTATTAATTCATTTTCAACAGTTAACGACATTAATCTCCATGCAGTGAATTCTTAAGAGTAATATTAAACTATGACAGTAAAGTATGTGTTTGACCAATTAATTTATCATTTTTTAAGTTCAAAACAATCTTTCTGGGGCAGAGTTACAGTTTTTATATAATTCCTAATGTATTTATTCTCAGTAAGGTCAACTTCTCCAAGGAATAACTACTAAATACACATTCAAGGCCTTTCAATTATATATATATAATTATATCTACCGATCAATATTATGTGTGTATATATATAATATTGATAGGACAGCTTGAGATAGACAGATACCTGCACGACAACGCTAATGAGTCCGTCTTAATTTGAGATTTTAACCTTATTTTTCTCTTTTGTTTTACATTATTTCAGTATAAAATCAACAGTTTCCTGTAGAAAGACTTAAGATTAGACCCATTTGTTCAATATTTGCCCAACATATCACTTATTAATACAACAATTATTGCCACTGGCCTTTAATTCTGATAGTTTAGTGTCCCTGAATTAAATTCTCTTTATGTTTATAATTTAAAGATTCACTGGGAGGTGAATTTTTATACAACTAACCCCTTTAAATGACATTAAGGCTTAAAGTTGGAGAGGCTCTTTCAATGAAAAAAAAAAAGATTAATAAAAGCAGAATTAGTCTCAATGACAGGTTTATTATCGGTTATTTGGGTGTGAATTAAATAAGGCACATTCACATCATATTTAAACATTCAAACCTGAAATTAAAAATAGTGGTACAAAAATAACTAAGACTCAACTTTTTATTGGGTTCAACATCCTCTTCTGTTTAAATTAAACGCTGCGAGACACAAAGTGAAGAGCCGGTGGGTGTTTGAGAGCAGACGGTCACAGAGGTATAAAGTTTAAACCGAAGCTTCGCCCTCAATGAAACGTCTACAGAGAGTGAATAGGAACACGAGTGGCGTACAGTACTGCTGCTGTTAAATATACGATTAAATATCTTCTAATGTGTTTAAGGACCAAACTGGAGGTTTTTCTCATTAAATCACAGCTGACCAATTTCCAAAACCTGTTTTTAGATTAATTTGCAGGCAGAAAATCAACTTATAGAAGCTTACAACTCAAAATATGATGATTGTACGGAAGACCTGAAAGGCAAAAGTGTTTTTTAAACTTATAAGTTTCATATAGTTTTTTAATTAAAACTTAATAAAAATTATATTTTTTGTTTCTCATTTTACATTACATTTATTTTTCCTCAGTAGCATTTTTTAAAAATTGTTTAATCTGTGACAACAAGTGAAAAAAACATTTTGTCACAGAAAAAATAAAAAAACAGAAAAACGGTTTTTTTACTTGTTTTTCAGGGCTTCCATATAAACACAAAATCATGTGAAATAATAATTTTGCTAAACTTAAATACAATGAACTGTTATATTCTGCATTAAATTTAATCAAAACTTTCACACATAAAACTTAATCTGACAATAATTTATTCATTTAATCAGTTAATAAATCGTTTTGGTCAGAAATGTTCTCGGTTTTATTTAACACATGATTCTACTTAAAATCAATAATATGATTTAACCTCCAGTCTTTTAGTTTTATTACTTGTCAACTTGCAGTATTATTATTTTCTTTGCATTATAACGCTTTTAAGACCATGTCGCTGCTGGTGCGTTCAAGGACCGTTGGACATAGCAGTGACAACGGGCTGCAGAAAAACAAAAACACATTAATGTTTGTATCATTTTTACCATATACACTTTACATATAGTTTGGCAGTCAATGTTTGTTATCAGAGTGTTCCTGAATGCACCACAAAGGTCAGATGTGTGTGGTTTATCTTCTGTAACCTACAGGACACTCATGAATAAACGTATGATTTATTGGCTCCTCGACTCGATAACTAAACTCACAAAAACAATCTCTCTCTGCAAGTTGAGTGTCATAGAAATAAACTAAAATAAGTTGCAATTAACAGGTAAAACATTAAAAACCAGCTGTGTGATCCTTGAACCTGCTGTGTCTGTGGAGAAAACACATTCAGGAGAAGCTGAACCTCTCTGAACACACGACCGTCAACAAGGGTCATAAATAAAAGACTAAAAACATCAGTGGAGTAGTACGATGTTAAACGGGGAAACAACCAAACTGTAAATCAATCTTTAACAGTGAAAACAACAACTAGTATTCAAGTAAAACAAAAATAACACATATTGAAATGAACTCTGGTGCTGAGATCGGAGCTACAGTCTCGTGGCTTCAAACTAAACTAAAGCAACAACATTCATACAGTATGAAACTAAAGCGACGTCAGTATGCATCCCTTTTTCTTTTTGTGAAGGCGAGAAGAAGAAAGTGCTTCAACCTCAGGGGAGGAGGAGGAGGAGGAGGAGATACAGGAGACCTTGTCGGACCAGAGGAAGTCTGTTAATGTTACTGACAACATCTGAGCTGTTAAAGTCACAATGAAATGATATTTAAATGAATTTAAAGGTCACTTATATGAGATTTAAAACATTAATAAAGCAGCAAAATATCTGCTATGTTCACATACAGCCGAGTCACGAGCTGTATGTAGTTTTATTTAATGAAGTTACGATGATCTGTGAGGTTAAATTACTGGTTTTTCTATGGAGTCTGGTGCGGCTGGATGCTAAATGTCACATATAACATAACCTTTAATGACTAAAGATTCACAGGAAGATAAAATGATGGGATTAAAGAGATGTTTGACACAGAAAACTACAGTTTAGCATTTCATTGTGACTTTAAAGGGCCAGTACACCCACATTACAAACACATTTCTCACTTACGTGTCCAGGTTTCTGTTTGTGGGACTGATGAAACTCAATCAGCTGCTTCTCGATTAACTGACAATCAAACGTATTGTTAAATTAATTTCCACCACTGATAGAAACGGCAGCGTACCACAGCTGGTCAGGAGGAAGGTTTGATCCCAAAACTAAATCTACTGTTTATACCATGAGGAGTCTGTACGGAGGTCCTGAGAGGCAAGAGAGTAAAAAAAAGTCTGATATAAATTGTTTTCTCTTCTGTGTTTTACGACTTTCAAGGACATTTTTAATCTGTGAATAAAAAAACAGAGGTTTCAGCCTCTTGTGACAACAACAAAACACTACCTGACAAAAAGGACCACCAATAAAAAAAAAGTGACTTATTATCCTGACAGAACCTTTTCAGCAGTTTTACATAAAATAAATAATGAATTTAGAAAGATTACCTTTTTATTTTCACCTGTTCTGAACTCAGAGACACAAGAGACAAAACTATTTAGATCAGACTTGGAACAAATCTTATTTCTTATTTGCCTCTCAAGGCCTCCGTAGAAAGTAAGTAAATGGACTGTTTTGTAAGATGAGTGACCCTTTTAAACATTTACAGTTTCTGAGCGAAGCTGAAAGACGTTGGACGAGCAGCTGGTAGAGCTTCATCAGAGTCGCTGTGCTTTCTTTCTTTTTTCCTTTTGGCAAACATTTTGGTGTTCGTGTGTCACTGAGGGAAAGTTTCAGTGCTCCTCAGTAATCTCTCTGCACGCTGTCTGGTCGCCGCTGTCAGTCTGCGCTGCGGGAGGGAGGTCAGCGGGGGGGAGGTCAGCGGGGAGGGCGGGGCTGGAGCTGTCTTCAGTCTGGTTGTCAGACGACTGTAACTGTCCGTTCAGCGCGCTCTGGCTGTCGGGGTCGTGTGAAGCCGAGTACTCGGCGTTGTCGCTCAAAGGTGATGCACGAGGGCGAGGACGGTGGCGTGTCGCTCCCGGTGCTGCAGTCCTCAGTGGAGTGCGTCTCACTGGTGTCGTGGTCCGTGCTCTCAGCTGTTTTGTGTGCGACCTCTGTCTGATCACTCTCTCGCAGAGCGCGCTCGGCCGTGTACTCGGGCTCAGGCCGCTCCGGCATTTGCTCTCCAGAGTCCAGAGTGTGACAGCGACCCAGGGGCCGCTCTCTCAGTCGGGGCCCGGCGTCGAGGCTTGCTTGAAGGGGGCTGCTTGACCTCCACCGGTCTCACCCGCCGCAACCTCCTCCTGTCGGGATTCACCTGAAGACAAATCAAGATCACGTATGCAGACGTCTATTTACTACTACTACTACAATCCATCCAGTCGTTCTATAGTTGACAGATATTTCTGCGTGTGTACCTGGTTCTGGGTTGAACACCTGGGTGGAGGACCAGAGGAGCCTTTCTTTATCTGCTGAATCCTGAATCGAAGAACATCCAACAGTTAACACAAATACTGAAACAACATCTACGTTCTTATTTTTGGTCGTTGGAGATCATCACCTGCTGATGGACTGGGCCAGTTTCTGCCTCCTGCCGTTGGTGTGATCCTGCAGCCTCAGACGCTGCACGAACGAATGAGCTGCAGCGACAGAGAGGAGAACAAAACCGCTGATTAATCGATTAGTTCTAAATCTGTTTAAACAATCGATATCTTGGAGGCTGACGTCGTTACCCAGAGCTCCTTTGGGCACCGACAGGAGTTTGATTGGCTCGGCATCGGGAGAAAGTCCAGACGCTTTCTGCAGAGCTCTCAGGATCTCCGTGTTCTGCAGGAGAAAAGCTTTGTGTCACTGTTGAGCTTAGATATGCTGCCGAACTAATCTACATTACTCTGCAGAGACCCTGAAGCAGCAAAAACCTGAATGAAAATACATTAAAATCTCCTGAACATTCAAACTGAATAAATACAGTATGCTAACATTGTTTTGATTGTGTTTAATTAACAGTAGCACCACCTTTCCGCCCAGTTCGTAGGCGCAGTCCAGCGGCGTCCTCTGCCTCTTGTTCCTGAGGCCGGGCGAGGCTCCGCCCCTCAGCAGCAGCTCCACCAGCGCCTGGTGTCCGCCTCGCACCGCCTCGTGGAGCGCCGTGTTCCCCTGGAGGTTCACCACGTTCACCAACGCGTTGCTCTGCGAGGACGAAGAGCGAGACACTTCAGACTTCCTCTGAGAGCGACACGTTAAACTGCCGTCAGGTTAAAGTTAAAGGGGTCTGACCTGTAACAGGATGGTGGCGGTCTCCAGGTTCCCACAGAGACAGGTCTGTATCAGAGGTGTGTTGCCATAGTGATCCTTCTTGTTCAGTTTGGCGTTGCACTCGAGCAGAAACCTCACCACCTAAACACACACAGGCTCTTCATCATGTGACCAACACAAAACAACTGTGTCTTAGTGGACTTTCTTTAAGCTTCCACCAGAAACTGTTCAGACTCCTGAAAGGTCCGATATGTCAGCATTTTATTCATTTCTGTGAAGAAAATGTAATTACATTGTAAAGTTTAGATTATTATTTAAGAACTGAACTTTGAAGAGCTGAACACAAACTGTACTGACAGAGCTTCAGTCTCTGATCAACGTTAGAAAACAACCAAAGAACTGATAAGAAAACTCTGAATCTGTCAAAAAAACAGTGTATTGAGCCCGAATGATTGTTACAAATACATAAAAGAGACAGCAGGATGAGATAAACTGCAGTGTGTTCATGGTGGTGAAGGAACATTGTGGCTCACTGATGTGTTTTCTAACAGTGGAGCTCTGATACACACCCAGTACCTGTTAGCAGATATTGTAGTCGCAGTATTTATATTCAGAGTTTTATAGGATTTGTTAACAGGAAGAAAAATACAGAATATCAGATGTCGCCCGGTTAGCTCAGTCGGTAGAGCTGGCGACCCATATACTGAGTTGGCCCGGGTTCGAATCCGACCTGCGGCCCTTTGCTGCGTGTCATCCTCTCTCTCTTTCCACCCACCTTTCCTGTCTCTCTACAGCTGTCTCTATAAAATAAAGCCAACAAAAGGCCAAAAAAATAACTTAAAAAAAGAAAGAATATCAGATGTAACTTCCTTCTTTTTGCCACAAGGTGGTGCCAGTAGACCTGAGCCTGAAGCAGACCTCCTCCCTGCAGAGAGACGTCCCTGCTGTGGCTGACCCACTTCTACGTAACGCACTCCTGTGAAGAAGTTATTTTTATCTCCAGTGTGACACAATCGTGTAACACAGCACAGACACCTCGAGCAGGAGATCTGCTGATTCTGTATCCACTGCAGGGAGATTTAGTGTTTGAATAACAGTAACAACTGCTCTTCCTTTAGTATCTTATCTCCATGTTTCAGGTCACTGGGCCTCGTGTTCTTATCTTTACTTTCTCTTACTAACTTTCGTGCGGTGGGATCGTACAAGTTAGATCCAGCAAACGCTCCTATCTTCAGATCTCTGTGTAAATCAACTGAGTAAAAAGGATGAATGTGTGTAACGGAGCACAAACACCCTGATCACACCATATCAGGCTGCACGGCCTGGCCTCCGTGGGAGGAGGTTCATCTATGGAAGTAGTACGGAAGAGTACGAAGAACAACTTTACGAGATCTCAGTGGAATTAAAAGACCGGCTAAAGTAAAGGAAGGAGAAAAATAATCAAGAAGAAAGAAAGTTTGAGGGGAAGTCACAAAGAGGAAAGAATAAGTGCAGAGGATGTTCCTCTGGACAGCAATCTGCACACACTTTAACCCCGTCAACAGCACATTCATATGAAGTTTGGCTCTACGATACAGTTCAAATTATAATTTAATAAATTAACTGTACAGTCTAACAAGAGGATGTCAATGTGTTAGGAAGTTTGATTTACATAGGAAACTTTCTGTATCGGTCTGATACTGGATCAGATACTAAAGTATAATTCACTTCACCATGAACCTGAATAATAATGATACAGGTTCCTGGGTTAGTGTCTCGGGTTTGTTACAGGTTGGTGGTCAATTAGACGCTCTCTGTTCTTTTTTTATAAATATAACAGTAACAGTTTAAAATAGGAAGAATTCATCTTATTTTACAGATAATTCATCCTCCCTTTATTAGGATATTAACAGAAGACGTAGAAATAGTTTTTGTTCAAATGCAGTTTTTCCAGGAGAATAATATTATTTCCAGGACATGTGTTCTTTGGTCTGGTGGTGTTTCCAGGTTTTCCAGGACGTTTGCGAGTGTGTAGCGACTGGTTTGTGCGTCTAACCTGGACGTGGCTGTTCTGGCAGGCCAGGTGGAGCGGCGTGGCGCTCTGGTTGGTGCGGGCGTTCACGTTGGCTCCGTGGCGGATCAGCAGGGCGGCCAGTGCGGCGTGGCCGTGCAGGGCGGCGACGTGGAGCGGCGTGAAACCGTCGACGTTACAGCTGTTCACGCCGAGCGCTCCGGCCTGCAGGACGGACAGCTGCAACACACACAGAGGAGGCGGGGTCAGAATCCGTTACCGTCTCCCAACAGCGAGCACGTCTGTCGGTTTCTGTCAGACCTTCTGAGTGGGAGCGCAGTTCGGACACTGACACAGCGGGTGGCACAGCAGAGCCTCGGACCGAAGCTCTCCTTCATCCTCCTCTTCCTCGTCCATCCACTCCAGCAGGTAACGCACCTGAACACACACACACAGACACACACGTTTTTACACTTATTTCATGTTCTTACGTTTGTATTTGTAGATCTTTTTCTGATTCTGCCTCCAGTGTTTTCTCACTGCCGACTGCTGAGACAGCTTCTCCTCAGTTTGTGTTTTTACTGTTTTATTGTTCAAAACTTCTTACTTTATATGTGTGTGTGTGGGGATTGATTGAAGACATAGATACTGTGATATTAAAAGGTAATAAATAAGTAGTCGGTTTAAACACACACACACGTTCCAAACTTTGTTCTAAATTAACTTCATAAAGCAACAAAACTAAAAGTCACAAGAACCTCCACTGCTCACTTTTTAATGTACAACTGTTTATCTGTGGGGACAGTAACTGTTTGAATGGTTTCATTATGACGGTTTCAGCTTAAAGGTTTATTTTTAGGACACTTGCACATTCAGTCAGTCTGCTCTTGTTCCTCTCTGTTTTATTACAGCAGCTGCACATAATATTCTTTACAAAAGCTTCCATTATGTAAAGTATGTTTATGTGTCTTCTCCATTACACCGAGGTCAGCCTCTGTGAAACCTATAAGTCCAGGATACTGACTGGACCAGGTCTGGATCGGTTATCCTGGATTCATTCATTCTGCTTTTGTGAAACAGGACGTTCAGATGGAGGAAATGTGACTGTTGTTTTGTTCTCACCATCTCCACATCACCGTCTGCCACAGCACGCAGCAGCTTCTCCACCTGTCAATCACACACACACACACAGTCAGTCACCATGGAAACAGCAGCTGATTGATCTACTACCACTGTGGATTATGAACTTTGAGTTGAGACATTTAGTTTCCCGCACTCACCTCTCTGTGTCGCACCCGTTCTCCCTCCGGTTTGGCCTCGGAGCCCAGAGAGGAGGTGCTGGAGACGGAGGAGC